TTAAAGGGGGGGGGGAGATGGAGTAAGGTGGGAGGGGGAAGGGAACCCAAGGAAGGAGGGGGGGGATGGGGAGGTACTAGCGGATAAAAGGACTGAGGGAAGGAAAAGGGTCGAGAAAAGAAAGAAAATTCAGATAAGAAAGGGGATGGAGCAGAGGCGGGAGAAAGAGAGAGAGAGAGAGAGAGAGAGAGAAGAGAGAGAGAGAGAGAGACAAGAGAGAGAGAGAGAGAGAGAGAGGAGAGAGAGAGAAGAGAGAGAGAGAGAGAGAGAGAGAGAGAGAGAGAGGAGAGAGAGAGAGAGAAGAGAGAGAGATAGAGATAGAGCACGTAAGACGAGAACTCGAAAAAAGAAAGAAAAATCAGGAAATAAAGGGGAAGGGGCAGAGGAAGGAGAAAGAGAGAGAGAAAACAAAGAAGAGCGTAAGACGAAAACAGGACGACTGATGTAAACAAGGAGGAATCGCTTAAAAAAAAAAAAAAAAAAAAAAAAATGGAAGCAATTTGAACCTATCCCGGAGACTCGAAATTCCGTATAAACAAACACCTCACTTCCCTTACTCTCTTTTTTTCTCCTTCTTTAAACAGACTTGAAAATGATGCATTCTAAACAAAGAAATAGGGAAAAAAAGAGATTTTACGATATACATGCGTGCAAGATGGCAGTCTACAGCCATCTTAGTTCAACTTGTGTTTATTTTTTTCGAGTTTCTCCAAATTCGCTCGGGCACGTTTCGTTTTTTTTTTTCTTTTTCTTCTTTTTATCCTCGCGACGTGTTCCTTCTCTTATTTTTAATGGTATCTCATTTACTTGATTTCCTGGAGGTTTAAGTTTCTGATATTCTGGTTATGTAGCGTGGTCCTAATTACTGTTTTTGTTTTCGTTTTTTAATTTCGGGTTGGCGTAACTCGAAAAATTGATAAGTTGGTTTTCCATTTTGGTCCTATATTCTTTAGTTTTATCTGCCTAGTATCTAAATTACACGACAAATTACATAGGACATTTTTAGCTGTAACGGTGACTATTTGTAACCCTGGTAACTTAAAGGCTAGCTAACCTACAGGGCTATTCATTTGTATATTTGGTTACCTGGAGATCAATTCAGCTATTACTATTTACTATTTATCTACTATTCATTTACAGAAACTATTTACTATTTACACATCTCATTACACTGATTACCTGGAGATCAGGTCAGTTATTACTATTTACTATTTATCTACTATTCATTTACTGAAACTATTTACTATTTACACACCTCATTACACTGATTACCTGGAGATCAAGTCAGCTATTACTATTTACTATTTATCTACTATTCATTTACTGTAACTATTTACTATTTACACACCTCATGACACTGATTACCTGGAGATCAAGTCAGCTATTACTATTTACTATTTATCAACTATTCATTTACTGAAACTATTTACTATTTACACACCTCATTACACAGATTACCTGGAGTTCAAGTCAGCTATTACTATTTACTATTTATCTATTATTCATTTACTGTAACTATTTGCTATTTACACACCTCATTACACTGATTACCTGGAGATCTAGTTATGTAATGGCGTGTTTAACAGGTGTTCTCGTTACCTTGTTATTTGCTTTCCTGAAATTTGTCCGCTTAATGGTTCGGTTACCTGCGGTTCGGTTACCTGATAAGCTGTTTATAGCACGGATCGATAGCTAGACAGTGTGGCTATTACCTTACATGTTTACTGTGTATTAGGGCGCTTGACATATTACTCCGTTATCATGGCGATCGCCCGTTGTATATGCGTCTACGTGTCCCCATTCGGATAAAACACCTTGTTGGCTCCGTCTTAGTTAACTGGGTCATATTTCTCTCTATCCCTGTTTTGCGAAAACTGATAAGCTAATGTTTTGTTTTCTTCTACTTCCCCCTCCCGTTTTTTTTTTGTTTTTTTTTCTTTTTCTTTCTTTCTTTTTTTTTATCCTGCTTACATGTTTGATTCATAGTATCACTAGTTCAAATTACTGTGTTATTGATAGTTCGTTACGTTACATTGTTCTGCAGGTAACGATAATATAGCATAATGGTATGTTCACCTTAAACATACCAACGTGATATACGATACGGACACTACACCTCATAATTTCACCATAACCATCATTATATCTCGCTATCCAAGGCATATTCAACACCATTACCAATAGTTAAGCAGTGACTGCTATTTACGCAGTTACATGTTTACTTTATACCTTTCTCATCTTTATTACAGTTATTAGTCGCCTTTTCCCTTAGATGGACCTTTCTCACCACCACAGACACCATACTAACCGCTCACTCTTGTCAGGCTATTGATCTCTTAGATAAGGCTGAGTGGCTGTTGCTATATTAACGCCAGTAATGAATACTACATGTGCACCTTCGACTGATGGGAAGGCGAGTTGCGTGTATGCGTATGTGCGTATGTGAGAGAGGAGAGAGAGAGGGGAAGGGGGGGCGAGGAGAGACAGAGAGAGAGAGAGAGGAGAGAGAGAGAGAGAGAGAAGAGAGAAGAGAGAAGAGAGAGAGAGACGAGAGAAGAAGAAAGAGAAGAGAGAGAGAAGAGAGAGAGAGAGAGAAGAGAGAGAGAAGAGGAGAGAGGAGAGAGAAGAGAGAAGAGAGAGAGAGAGAGAGAGAGAGAGAGAGA